TGTAGTATACTTGATATACTTAACTTAAAGTATACTTGCAAAAATAATCTTCAAATATACTACTACTTTTTGTATTCCTACTTTGCAGTTTTTCACTTATAGCGGGGCTTCAGGGTACGGATCCCCCACGATAAACGAGAGACTACTGTACAGTAAAGTTTACTTGAACTTTAACTTTCACTACATTCCCTACTTTGCAGTTATTCACTTATTGCAGGAGGGTGGGGGTGGGTGTTGGGTGCGGTTCCTAAACCCAGTGATAAATGAGGGACCCATTTTTGTATTTGCTTTGTTTTGTCTTTGGTAAATTAGCTGACTAACATTGATTACACATTGTTGTCATGGTTACCTTTAGCTTGACAGTTTGTGAACAAATAGACAATCAATTAGATGACACATTGACGCAATACCCAGATGTTTTCTTGGGCGTGTGAGCTTACCATCTAACGGTGATCTTCCTGAACTTTTATTCTCCTCTGCCAGCATCACTTCCTCTGTATGTAAAACAGTAAAATTGCAGGTTACACACGAAGCACGAGTCAAACCATCAGATGTGGAAATATACAGTCATAGGGTTGAACAGTTTAGGATGTCTGCAAACACTTGCAGGATTTGATGTAAGCTCTGCTTTGAGAGGGCAGTATGACCTGTACGAAGACTGATTTCTCATTTTGTCTTAAATTCTTGCAATATCTGTCTCTTTTTCCTCCTCCTTCATCCCACACGCTCCAACACATAAAAATGCACAACGTCTCTTTCTCTCTCACTCTCTCTCTTGCGTGCTCACATAAAACACTGGCGAGCGCGTGTGCATACACTCGTGCGCACACATTTAAATCCGTGAGTCAGTATCACCTTTTTCTCACCCTCTGCATGCGTGGGAGACCAGCAATGTAGATTTCCATTACAGCTCTGCATGTTTGTGCTTCTCTGCTACTCCACCAAAGATCCCAAACTCTTAACAGTGTCTGCAGCAGAGCAGTCACTTACCAAAACAGAACAAAGAGCGTCCGATTTTAAAACAGGGTTGTTTCAGGTCTTATTTATTCTGCATTAAAGACTTACTGGTAAAACAAATCAAAGACTCTTGGTAATAAGCTGAATTGATCGGTGTGAATGCAGCCAACCTAGCTCTGTCCAAAATTTTACAAACGTGTCCAAAAACGCCTACAAAAGATTACTGATGAATTTGGATCTTGTTTGTGAAATCTGAACGAAATTAAATGTAAAAGCATGATTTGTGGCTAAATGGTGCCTGCATGCTGTCATAACTTCACTAACAAGATGACGGCCTGTTCACCAACTCTAACCTCATTAGTAATGTTTGGTCTGTTCAGTAAAGAAAAGGAAAGTTACAGAAAATTAACTAAAACTGAAAGGCAGAGACTCAGAGCTTTGCTTTCCCTGGTACAAAGAGAGTAATGTTGTGTATGCTGTTCTGTGTCAGGAGGGCTGTGATCAGTCTTACAACGGGGAAATTAAACAGCCACTGGCCAAAAGGATGGACCAGCACAGAAGAGCAACATCATCAGGCCAGGACTCTGCGGTCTACACTCATCTCCAGGCCAGCGGTCACTCTTTCAGGGATGAAGATGTTCACATCCTGGACAGAGAGGAACGATGGTTTGAGAGAGGAGTGAGTGTCCATCATTATAAAGGGGCGGAGGCCTCCATGTCCAGTTGTCAGCTTCTTACAATGCTGTTATTGCTAGTATCACTCAGCCCTTTGTGAATAGCAAGCGGCCATCAGAGCACTAACGATCGGTTGTTAGGCTGATGGTCCTTTATCGTGAACAGATAGTTTTGGCTGTCAACAGCAAACTGGTTGATGCACTTTGAGAAGAGGCTATTTATGACACTGAGTTTATTGCAGCTCCTCAGACTGAAGAAGTCTTTTGGATTAAAGATGAAACGTTTCAACAAGTGTTTTTTTTTTTTTTATGTTTTTTGTTTTTTTATGAACCTGTCCAGAGGACAAGACTTAATTAGTTAGATTTTTCCAACTGGATTATTGAGCTTGCATCAGCATATTTACTTTGACAATATTCACATTTATTCTTGAGGAACGGCCTTTTAAAAAAAAAAAAACATTTATTTAACTTATGGAGCCCTTCAGTGCTCAAAGTGGGTTGATACTCAGCACAGTACCAGCACTTCTAAATTTTTGTCTTTTGGGTACTGTCACTTTTCACGGCACAACACATCTTCACACAAACCTGCCAATGTGTAGTGTCAGTGTCACCAGCTGTAAACTACCGTGGATTCAAATAAACTACATTATCCACAGGACATTAGTAGTTATAACACGCTGCACTGATTTTGATTCAAGAGACGCATGACTCATAAATAACACTGATGGGTTAAAAGTTGGACACGTTATTTGTTTGACAGTCTTTCTGTAGTTTTGTTCTCAGACATTTAAATGCAACTTAATTTTGGGATCAGATGAAAAATCTCAACTAAATATTTCATCCAGTGGCATCTAAATATCCCCAGTTTGTTATCATTTGTATCTTGTATTATTAATCTGCAAATTGCTGGACATTTTTTCAGTCAAACTCACTGTAGCAATCTTGTTTATGCTAATACAATAAACCTTATATTTGGTCGCCCTTTTCCAACAATAAATAATCTGTTTTTCTTGCACCTAGAGCTCTTCTGAACGTCTGTTGTGGAATATCAAGAAGATATAAGGTGATAGTGTTTGGATATACAGCAAGTGTTAGCATTTTATTGAAAAAATAACAATAAAACATCTGAATGAAATCACACAAAAAAGTCAAAACAGGCTTTCCGTGCCAACTAAGCTTGGAATAGCATACAAATTGCTGTTTCACATCCTGAGCCAGATTATCTGACTATTAGCTGACATCAGGGTTGATTCTTTCCTTCAGACATTAGATTACAGATTTACTCAACATTATAAATCAGAGTGAGTCCAGCTCATCCACCATAATAAAACATGTAAAGTCATTCAGCTGCTCAGTACCTGCCCTGTCTATCCAGGCTCTGTACCCGTTCAGTTCTCTCTCCACCTGCTGCTGGCGGCGCAACTTCATGAAGGCTCTCCTGTTCTCCACCCGTTCCCTCTCTTTGGCAAACTCTCTAAAAAATAAGACCATGAAAAAAACAATAGTCTTGCTCCATAATGTAGTCACCAAGACAGAAAATGTTTTTGCACACATAGAAAGAGGCAAACTCACCCAGACAGAACTCCCAAAACTAGATTCAAGACAAAGAATGAGCCAATAATGATGAGCGGGATGAAGTACATCCAGTTCCATGTAAGACCCAGTGCATCATTTGTCTGTAATCCGTATAGACATGAATAAATATTTACCAGCGTTCAGAGTGTTGTATTATGATCCATTAGCTGATTATGTGAGCTCACATTATAGAGCACGGCTGTCCATCCCTCCATGGTGATACATTGGAAGACGGTGAGAACAGCAAACAGGATGTTGTCAAACTGCGTGATGCCATCATTGGGGCCGATCCACGTGTCGTTGCAGTCGTACTTTTCTGGACACTTCCTCACTCCGCATGCAAATGCCAGCTCCGATGAGTCAACAGTCTCATTATCTACAGAAATAAAATGTAGGCTGTTGCGTGTGCATGTTATTGAAATGTATTCATAATGTCTACACATCTGAGCCAACTGCAGCTGGATTTACCTTCTGACTTTTGCGAGTCAAGTGAAGCACGAGACAATGGAGGCTAAGTACCAAAACTTTGCTACTCTTATGTACACATTGGTCACATATCACCACTTAAAGGTTTAAAGGTTCAACTTATACTGGATAGTTAGAGAAGATCAGTAATAATGTACCTGTCCACTGAATTTATTTATTAACCTTTATTTAACCAGGCAAATACCCTTGAGATAACAGATCTCTTTTGCAAGGGACGTCTGGGCCTGAAGGCAGCCTAACATGCATGTTTTTGTTTTTTGGAATGCGAGGCTGAAACCAGCAGATAGGATTATTAGAATCAGAATCAGAATAAACTTTATTATCATTGTACCAAAATACAGTGAGATTATATTTGTACAGTCCTCCGAAAGATGGGCGGAGTGCACATTACTGCTGCTACTGGAGCGTGGCCTCTTATTCTTTATCAAAATATTTTTTTGGATAGAAAGGGGGGGAAATCCGTGGTGATAGCATAGTGGCATTACAAAAAAGATTTTTTCACACCTTGTCCTATCAGGACACGAATTAAGACATAAAAAAAACCTGCCAGCAAGCACATTTATAAACACATTACATATGCATTTGACAACAAGACGGTGAGATTTGTCCATGAAGCACTTCCAGATAGACCATAGTCCTGAAAATACTTTTTTCAGGCAGACTGTTTTTTTTTTTTTTTTGTCAGCCTTGAGTCCTGCTGGTACTTTCAAGATCCAAAATGTCCAGATTTGTGGGCAATCCACTGGTCCGTGCTCATGAGCCTCCTCCAATGTCGTCTCCAACATTCTGGTGAGTCCCAGAAGCCGCAGGTGGCCTGCGATTCTCACAAATCACTTCCATCTTACGGTTTAGCTCGTAAGTCAGCTGATTTTGAGTACTCAAAGGACAAACCAAACCTACACACAGACTCAACAGTTTTGATATTGCTGAAACTGCTGCCACCGCCTTCCTTGATAACATAAGAATCTGCCAATACCAGAAAGCAGAAACGCTGCTATCATTAGACAGGAAACTGGTAAGATTGTGGACGTTGGTAAGGAATTCATTTTATTGTATAGTTTACTCACTTATTTCAAACTGCTAATTGTCTTTTTCACACTTTGGTTGGGTAACAATTATTAAAGTGTTTGTTTGTGAACTTTAAATGCACTGGCGGGTGGATTTTGCTAGCTGTAGACAGACACTATGTTTATGTTAAACTGAGTTAAACAGTGTTTACTGTACGGCCATGAGAGACAGAGCCGACAGTTTTACACTGTGGGAACTTTTTTAACAACTAAATACACAATGAACAGTTGCAAACATTAAATATTCTGTTGTCCTCCTCCACTGAAAGTGTTTTTTGTTACCTCGCTTTCACAGTCCAGAGTTTAACACATGAAGTGGTTGTAAAATAAATACTTTTGGTGAAAACAAGCAAGACTTGTCTTGACTAGTCTGACTAGGAGACTAATCTTTTTATTCTTTTGAACAGAAATTGAGATGAATTGTGCAGAAATTTTGAATCTAAACTTTGTTTAAAATGAAATAAGTTCTATTAAAACTATATGTTGAGTGCATTAAAAAGCATTCGTACTTGCTGTATATTTACACACACACTGCAACATTACAAGCACAAAACCTTAAAGCATTTTAGGGACTTTATGTGGTAGACCAACACAAAGTATAATTGCAGTGTAAAAAATATATATTTATATGTATATATTTTTTTTTTTAACTAATGAAAATCTGAACAGTGTGGTATTGTTTTCACCTACTTTGAGATGATACTTCTCACTAAAATCCAGAGCGACATAGTGCATCCAGAAATCACTGGATTAATAAGCACAGTCCACCATTGTGTAATTAAATCTGAGAATAAATTCAGCTGTTCTGTGAGCCAGCAGGTTGTTTCAGAACAGTAGAGATCAAAAAGAAAAAAATAGAAACACATCAGACAGGTCAGGGATAAAGTTGTAGAGAAGTTATACAAAAAAGCAGGGCAAGGTTATAAAACAATCCCCCAAGCTTTGAACGCCTCACAGAGGATTGTTCAAGCCATAATACATAAATGAAAAGAATACAGCACAACTGCAAAACTACCAAGGCATGATCATCCACCTAAACAGGCAAGGACAGAATTTTTTTGAGAAGCAGACAAGAAGCTTCCATGATAATTCTGGAAAAGCTGCAGAGATCCACAGATGGGAGAATCTGTCGACATGAAAACTAATTAGCTAAGTACTGGTAAGTCTCTAATTTGGCCTTAATGAAAGAGCAGCAAAATGTAAGACAGTTACAGAAGTTTCATTTGTCATTTGCCCATCATTTAGTCGATGCAACAAACATGTAGAAGAAGGTTCTTTGGTCAGATGAGACCAAAATTGAGGTTTTTTGGGAACAAATGCAAAACACTGTGTGGTAGAAATGACCACAGCCCATTACCCTGAACACACCATCCCCAACATGAAACATGGTGGGGGCAGCATCTGTTGGAGAAACATATTCTTCTTAACTTACTTATGGCAGGAGAAGATTTTATTTTTACCAGCATTTTATTTGCAAGGACTCATTCAAGACCGATTACACTGATACACAGTGCATGGAACATGTCACTGAATGAGCGTCAAACAGAGTTTGCTGCAGAATTTTATACAGCAGCAGAGTCCAACAGGTGTTCCCTCATAGCCAGCTACAGTCAAACACAGACATGATCCATGGCCGTCAGCTAGTCAACCTAAGGTAAGAGAATGTTTTGGGCATGTTCTCATGGCGTCATCACCAGTGAGGCACTGTGAGTCGTCGAGCTGGCCTTCAGGCTGAGACAAGAGAACGCTTTGTGCATGCATTGCAGAAATATGTTCTCAGCCATAACAAAAAGATTCATACCAAAAATGATCTGTCATGATTGTTCTTCTTCATGTCATGTTTCTGCTCCTGTCATCCAACCACTCCTACTCTCCAAATTCAGAATAATCAGCGCTCATGCCCGACACCTCTTACCTGCCCTATTTAAGATCCACATTCACTCCAATTCCCTGCCAGATTATTGAACCCCTTGTGTTAGTAAATGTCCAGTGTAATGTTCATAGCCTTGTTTGCCTGCCTTGTCTTGAACTCACGCCTGCTCTTTGGACTCCCCGCTTTACCTGCTCCCTATCTGTTCTGGATTTACCTCTCTGACCTCGGTACTGACCCTCTCTTCTGCTCCAAAGACTGCGCTTCACGGATTACAATTCAAACTTGGATCTGGACCTCTGACTACTTGTGTATGACCCCCGCTTTTGACTCTGGACCCTTGGATCTCTCTTCAAACAACGCTCTGCTTTGCAGCTGCTCTTCACCCACTAACAGTGACGTCATCACCTCCAGCTCCCTCGCCTGACTGTGAAGATTGTCCCCGCCATTGGACTCAGACCTCCACTAGCAGCTGTCTCACAATAAACATTTTAACCATTCTTGTTGTCTGGCGTCGTGTTTGAATCCAAAAACCTAATTCTTGTCACTAACAGCATCATGCTGCGAGGATGCTCTTTTTCAGCAGAGAGGAAAGTTGGTGGGAAGTTTAATGGACCTACTTGAAATGCAGGGCAATCACAGAAAAAACCTTCATCCAGCCAGTGCCACATTGGAAGGATTTTGATCAAAACATGTTCATGTGTGGGAATATTCTAGTCTAAATTCAGATTTTAATCCAACTGAGGCAAGATTTGAAAATTGCTGTTCACAAACACTCTATTATATCTGACCGAGACTGAGTTATTTTGCAAAGACCAGGCTCTAGATGGGCAAAGTTGCTAGCGACATACTTCAAGACTTGCAGCTGTAATCGCAGCAAAATGTGGTTCTACAAAATATTGACTTAGGGGAGCTGATTACAAATGCACGCCACATTAAAAACATTTTATTTGTAAAGAAAATTGTAAAACGGGGACTGTTTTCCTTCCATTTCATCAGTTGCTCTACTTTGTGTTGGTCTACTTCATAAATGTTTGTGGTTAAGTGATAAAATGTGGACCAGTTCAAGGGGAATATTATTTTTCAAGGTGCCATATTTCCATTTGCTTAAAAATGTTTTTTTTTCTGCACTTCCTTTAAATCTGAGTTTAGAAAATGTGCATAAAAGTAAAAATGATTACAACAGTGAGTCACTTTTCAACTGACACATTAAAAGGAGTCATTTTATTGAATGGGCAACTCAATAAAATAAAACTTTTCCGTCTTATTTTTTCCCCAAATACACCAGAACAGTATTAAACTCAAGAAAATGACATAAAAAGAAAGGTCTGATAGATTTAAATGTTCCTGCTGTGATTACAGGGGTTTTTGTTGCAATCCATCTCAGAGTAGGCCAATGACAGTAAATACTGTGGTGTGGTTCGTGATTACAGAGCAGATGTTGACTAATTAAGCAGCAGCTAAATCAGCCAGCATCAACTTTAATAATACCTCTGAGCTTGCTGCTGTTGTAATCCACAGAGCCCTCAAACAAAGATATTCACACCCTCTCTTTGAGAAAATTGAGTAAACCACATGTTTACTACAGCTGCTGGAGAAGTGTTCACTCATAAATACAGTAATACAAAAAGCAAACACTGGAAGTTGCAAGGAGGTGCACTTCACACTTATTTGTTTAACTGACTGCAGAAATACTTTTTAAATATTGTTCTAATAGACTCACACAGACTTCAGATCGGTTTTCCTGTTTTCTGGTTTGTAGAATAATTTGCAGCTCTTACTGAGAATGTCGTCCGATGGCTGGCAGGTGTGGTGAAGCTTCCCGCTGTAGAACTCCAAACCGATGATGGCAAACATGAGGATGGCAAAGAACAAAAGAAGGCCGATCTGGAGCAGTGGAATCATGGCCTTCATGATGGACTTCAGCACAATCTGCAGGCCTGTAGGGAGAAGTAAAAATAAGTGGGAAAAATACATTTAAAACAACGTATTGGGAAAATACAGTAACAATCAAATTACATTTTTATTCCAATACATTATCTTTGACATTTTTACTAGCTCTGATATAAAAATTATAACCTTGCACGAATTTCACTGTATTTGATATATTATTGATAGATTTAAAAGGTCATGGTTAGAAACTTCTAACTTTGCTTTAACGCCCAACAAGCAGGGGCGATTCTAGAATCTGTCATTCAGGAGTGCTCAGCCCCCAGTGCTAATTGTTCTTGGCTTGAACAATGCAGTGGCCATTGGCATCAGAAGCATTTGTAATGTGTCTGTGTGTGTGTGTGGGGGGGGGGGGCAATGGTGTGGGGGTCCTCCCCCAGAAAATTTTGAATAAAGTAGTTGCCATTTCCTCCATTCTGGTGTATTTTAATGGGTTGTTAAACATCTGTGTTTACCTACATACAGTAAGTAAACACTTGATTCAGTAACTATTTTAGAGAGCAACAAGAAGTAGACTGACCAACAGCTCTCCTTGTGTGAATAGAGCATGCTCCACTTCTCTCAAGCATCCTAACACCCTTCAGTTTCTGCAGGTAAGGGGCATTTCACTTCGGGTCAAATTGAGATCACTGATTGGTCAGTTGCTGACGAGCATACTGGATTAACACACAGGTGGTGTTGAGGATCCGACTCGTGCAAAAAAAAAAATCCTAGCTTTTACCAGGCCATTTAGCAGTGTCATCATTTTTTCCATATTTATTCCAAATTTATTCAATATTTTGGTGAATCTAAGGTTTGAGAACTGAGTTTTCTTAGAGAATCCTAATGATGGTTTCTTAAATTTTAAGGGGTGCTAAGTTAAAATTTAGGAGTGCTTGAGTACCCCCAAAAAGAGGCTAAAATTGCCACGAAAAGCAAAATGCAGTCTTAGAAGTGAGAAATAAGCTGTAATTACATCTTAAAGAGCTTTTAATCACATGGTACAGATGAAAATGAAATGTGTTGAGGGAATCTATAAATGTTCTCATACTGCAGGACTTTTAAACAATCTACTTCAGGAAGTGAACCTTGTTTATTGTAAGAAGTTCCTCTACTTGTATGACTTGAGCTGACTCTTCCAGACAATCTAAAGGTGTTTTCACACCTGATAGTCCGGTAGACTCGGTTCGATTGGGGACCAATATTCATAACATTTGTTTACATTTTCAGCTGGTGTGGTTCATACTCACACTGCACTGAGTCAGTCGAGCCAACCTGTCCCACCCACCGCCCCCCCCCCTCTGGTCCGCTTGCATTCACACTGCATTCGAACCGCACTAGAGTTCACTTCAACCGAGTTCACTTTTTTGGTCCGTATCAGAGTTTGATTACACATTCACACCTCCCAAATGAACCAGACTTTCTAGGCAAACAGACTAGAGTTTGATTAAAGCGGACTAAACAGGGCTGGTGTGAATGCAGCCTAAATGTACAGTAAAGACCCTGGTCTGGTGGTTTATTATGTACAGGAAATGTTTAAAGAATGGATTCTTGCCTTGCAAATCAGAATAAGAATAAACTTTATTATCATTGCACCGAGAAACAGCGAGATCTGTTTTTATTTTACTGATGTACACTTTCTTAAACAACGGCAGGTTGTTAGAGGTCAGTAAATGACTCACTTGGGATGCCGGAGACGAGTTTGAGAGGTCTCAGAACTCGTACAGCCCTCAGGGTCCGAAGGTCCACAGGGATGTTCATGTGGGAACCAGCAGTGGCCAGGATCCTGTATTTAAGCACACATATGGTATATTAAAAAAATAATAATATGATGGCATAAATGCTAGAACACAGCATATTATCATACTGGTATAAAATTTTACATGTGCTGCCATTTTGTTTAATTATCTGAGTCCATGAGCAGGCATGTTAGTCTCTCTGTTAGCACAATATGTAATGAAAATTATCTTGAGTAATCAATGAATGTACAGTACCTCTATGGCTTTTGGAATGGATTTAATTCAAGATGACCTCCAAAGGAAAATAGCCATAACAAACACAGAAAAGGCTACTCATTTATAGACATTTACCTAAAATTAAGTGTAGTGGTCACTGAGCATAATCCCCACCGCATACTCAGAGGGCTGCTATAAAATGACCGGAGCTTTATTGAAAACATTGGCATACAATATGCACTCCATCAAGGAATGCTTGTTTTCTCTAATCTTTTGAATCTAATTCTAGAGGTCACATTTCAAATAGATTATGAGACAATAAAAAGATTTGGGTAAAAAAATATATAAAATATACAGCAAATACATTTGTGTGCAACTGATTCCAGCACAAAACTTTCTTAAGAATTCAGACTTTTCATGGTGCCTGAAGAGTTTGAACGATCAACATAAAACGAATGTGACTGCACAACGGTTTTGGAAACGAGTCATTCATGTGAAGGGAACCAAAACAAAAAGGTGAATAAAAAACTGATTGCATGACATGCAGACAACTGTAGAGCCCGTGGTACAGTGGTACAGTATATTCATTTAATGTACCAGACTCGGATGCTGAGAGACAAAGCAGCCACATACACCTGGCAGGCATTTCTACTCACATCTACCCCCACACACACATTGATGCTCCTCCACCTACACACAAACACTGAAAAACAGCAGCGGGAACAAACCAACCAGCTGAATCCTACAACAGAAACCACAGCTGGACTTTTTCATTTTTTACAAGATGGAAATTTGTTGCTGTTTTCTATTATAAAACAGATCATGGTGAAGCCATAATTGAATAACGTCTGTTATAGTTGAGCTTTAAAAATAATAGTTCATATCTAGTCTACTTTTTAAATGTCAAACAATAAAGCTTAATCTAAAATAAAAGGTGATCGCTCTCTTTACAAAATAGATTTATCCTATTTTTCTTTTACTTGTACACATACAGATGCAAACATACAAATTTATAAAATGTTTGGACAATGTTAGGAAGTGTGTGTGGGGGGGGGTATGTGTGTGTGTGTGTGTGTGTGTGTGTGTGTGTGTGTGTGTGTGTGTGCATGAGCAGAGAGTAGAAAGCACATGGCAGAAACTCAAGTGTAAGCCCACGCACACTCTCTCCTGAAAGCAGTGGGAGGGAGAGAGGCCAGGAGAACGAGTGAATGAGGGAGGCCATGTTCTCCAATGCGGAGAAATCTGAAACTGCTCTCAGAAATGTCCAGGAAAGCTTTCGAACATTTCTGAGAGCAGCTTGCTATTCTGAACGTTCATCACAGGTTCTGAACGCTGTGCGGGCTGACCGCTGCTGTTAACTGTCGAACTGGAACACATTTCAGGCGAAACAAGTGTTTTTAAAGGTGATGCTTAAAAAAAAAAAAAAAGTTAATTTTTTTTATTGAGTCAAAATTTAACCAAGCATCAACAAAAGGTAAAAAAAGAGAGTTAATTTTCAATTAATGGTCTGCATGTCTGAGTATACTTTTGTTCACAAATGACCATTTCTGCAGAAATCTCATTTGTAACTTAAATCTGATAGGTAATCCATCAAGAGTGTCAACACAGGCACAAATAAAAAAGAGAGCTAAATCTTGGTCAGTCAGACTTTAGTCAACTGCATGAGTTGTTGTTGCTGTCGGTATTGTTAACTTCAAAATGGGTAAGACCGTCACTACTTCATTGTATTTCAGGCTAAAATCTGTTGAATTGGAGATAAATCACATCATGATTTACCAGGTCATGGAAAGAGACGATCATTTATGTATAAACTATAGAGGGTCTAGAACTGAGCCTTGTGGTACTTTAAGGTAACACCATTTTCTTCAGGGGGTACCTACTGAAGTGATGATTTTTATTCTTGGGTTCTTAAAAGAGGATTCTCAGTAGGTGCTGGTGAGACAAATGATTTAGAAGCTCTTTTTCTGCAGTCACATGTTCCCTGACCTGGATTTGAAATGGAATTTCATCTTTTGTGCCTACACATCATGTAAACATTATAAAACCCTGTATGGCTAAGCACCAGAGTCAGCTTGAAATTATATTATGTACCTACAGTTTGTAACCAGTGATTTTTTTTTCCACTCCATGGAAATTTACTTGAGTCAGGTAATGTCAAATCGACATGGAACATCAAATTCTTGCTCTCAATCCGTCACAGACCCGCCTCCTGGTCAGAAGCCCTTTTCTTCACACTGGAAACCACTTTAACCATGCTCTTCAGCACACACGCGCTGTGTGAGATCATTATTGGAGAAAAGAAAATCAGAAAAAAATTCTACTTTCAATTGCAGTTTGGTGATATTTGAACATTCATAGATTGGGTAAAAATACACTTGTTGACTGCAGTTGGGCATACTTTTTGCTTTTGCAACATTAATGTCCTTTAACTGGACTTGTTTATCACTGCAGCAATTTTTAAGATTGATGTTAGCTGCAGACACCACTCAGATATCTAAACCTGCAACAGCTGATATTGATTTGGTCATAAATCCAAATCAGTGCTTAACAGCCAGCCCATTACCTCTGCTTGACTCATCCAGCAACAAACTGTCACTCAGTGCTTCCTGTGTCAGGGTTTATCTTGGTTTCTTGTCCCTTCTGACTTTTACCTTTTGAATACTGTATCTTGAACACTTACTGGACATTTCTTCCTGCTATTTTAATATTTAAAATTTTAATTTTAATTTGTCCACTCTCATGTATGTTCTCAGTTCTTCACCTGCCGTAGGAGCAGCTTTAGCCCAGTGGTGCCCCATTTCTACTGACATCAATAGTCCTAAACTATTGTTGTTGTTACACATCAGCTCGGCAAACTGTGGTGAAATATCAAATTAACCTGAACTAACATGACAATAGACCTCATAAACGTGCATCAAGTGTTTCCATAGTGCTCCTTTCCTGCTTAATTAGGTTTCAGTGAGCACGTACATGTAACAAGTGAGCGCGTGTCAGACTAGGAGATGACACAGCGAGAGACACCGAGACTGAGGTGGGAGTCTGTGGAAGTAGCCTTCAGACCAAACACACAAAACAAAAGCTGTGCCTCTTTCAAGGCTGCACTTCGAGCACAAAGCAGTTGAACGGAGGCTCGCTGAAAAAGAAAGCAAATATTCTGACTGTTTGAGCCGGCTCTTGAATCACACACGCAGTGCTCAGTTTCTTCTGCAGAAACAAAATTCAGTATGTGTTGCTGTTGCATGCATACATATGTGTATTGTAAAGAAATTGCTGCACAGATCAACATAAAAGTAGTTTATGTCATTAAATTAAGATGTAAGGTCTTGTTAAGTTACTTTGCAACCCTCTTCTGAAACAATATAACAGGGTACGGCACAGTTTTAATTGTTTTACAATAAAAGGGTTCACGTCACGTGTGATATAAATATCCATTTTAGTTCAATAAAAAGGTCAAATCTGACAGCAAATATATCACCACTTATATTGTCAATCAAAAAATTCCACCTTGTAACAAGTTTATCGTTCCAGAGAGAGGCTTATCTGTTCTCCATCGGCTCTTACTGAGAAGCACTTTTGCACAGAATTGTACCAAACTGGCTCCGGAGAGATTGATTTCATGGCATACACAGAATGCAGCCTCACCCACACACCTCCACCTACATGAAGAGCACCACCAAAACATTACAGCAATCAGCAGCATCAACCTACTCGCCATCTCAGCACGCCTGTGCAGATGGTGATGCACAGCTGAATTACCGTTAACACAAAGCATCAGCGTATTAATTGTTTTAAAACAAGTCTGATACAAATCAACCCATGCATTACCAGCAACAGTCTGACTCTGCTGTGTTCAGTTGTGACCATCTGAAACTTACGGTGGCCCTGAGGTGTAAATGAACAACATGTGAAAAAACAGAACTACATTTGAAAAAACAGAATTACATTTGAAAAAATAGAATTACATTTGAAAAAACAGAATCACATTTGAGAAAAAAAAATACACGAAAAATGAAATCACATTTGACAAAACGGAATCACATGAAAAAAAATGGAATCACATTAGAAAAAACAGAATTATAGTTGAAAAAAACAGAATCATTCAAAAATTATATAATTTCAGTTTTTTCTAATGTGATTCCATTTGTTTCCAAGTGTGATTTCGGCCACTTCCACTTTGGCTTAATGTAATTCTGGTTTTTCAAATGTAATTCTGTTTTTTTCAAATGTTGTGTTTGTTGTGGGTTTTTTTCAAATGTAATTCTGTTTTTTTTATTTTTTATTTTTATGTTGTTCATTTACACCTTAGGACCACAGTAGAAAAGAGATATTCAATAAAATTAAGTTTATATGGAAAAGGAGTTCAATTTACATTTATTTCCATGTGAATGAGTGAGAACAGTTATAGCTTTCAACTTTTCTCACACTGTTTTTTTGTTTCCCACTTTATCAATATTCCAAATATATCAAAATGTAATTTGTCAACATGAGAACATCATCATCATCATACATAAGCAGAAGTCTCATCTGCATCTACTAAATGCAGTGAACACCAACATTTCCACAGCTAACGTTATGCATCGCATCCTACCTCCTATGCCTCTCCCTGCGCATCACTTTCCTTTTCTGTCTGTATTTCGCTGAGAATTCAGGCGCACTGGAGAATAAGGAACAGGTGTGTGAAAGTGGCCCGATTTCACTACAGTGCAGGGGAATTCATGCAAGACTTGCCAGATCATTAACAAGAGCTATCCTGTCTGGTCAACCTGAAGTGCAGCGATAAGTCAGCACCTTCTCATGGACCAAGTTTTGATGACAGTCTAAATAAACTCTG